AAGCGGTAGTAAACTCCTGCCAAGTCACACGGTGATCCACCGGCTACATGGCATTGAACATGTCCCACCATGCACTGGCAGAACCCAACAGCCGCTGCGCTGCAAAGCGCACCTTCTGTTCTTCAGTTATAGTGAGCAGCTAAAACTTCTGCTCTAGAATACGAAGTCAATGCTCCGCATCCAGAGGCTCTACGATCGGTGTGAATGTGGGTGGGTGCGTCTTCAAGAAATCCTGGTAAGAATAGGGTCCCTTGGGACCGCGGGCACCACCCCCGTTTCCACCATTGCCTCCGTGGCCCCTACGGGCAAAGCCACCAATCGCCTGGGTTAGCATCTCCAAGGCACGGGCTGGCTCGTGCCGAGTAGCCAGCATCTCTGCCATCATCTCCACATAGGTCATCGGATGTGGTGGTGGCGGAGGAGGAGCCAGAAGTGGGGCCTAGTGGCTCTCCCCATTGGTGTTGCCAATGCCCTCACCACGACCGTTATCACCCGGGTCTACCCCTGCACTGGTACTCTCACGACCAGAGCTTAGGTTCATTTATAAATAGATAAGAACCAACCATTAGGGACAACCCTCCCGATTAGGAATAGGAGGCTTAGAGAAATGATAAGATGTTTATTAAGGCATTCTTTTAGATTATCCTATCAATTTACTAATCCATATTGTACGTGTGGGGGAAGTCTAGTTTAAGCAAGATTCTGTTTTCATGATGCATGCATCGACCTATACGTTCACTCAAGCCGGAATATAGCGGCATTCATAGAATTTTTCGACACATCACACACTCACTTTCCGTACGCTAAACGATTCTTACGCAGCATAAGTTAGTGTACCTGCAGAAACTTGATTAGATAAAACCAGTGCCGCTATCCTAGATATACCATATTACTAGGGCTTATACTTATTTACATAATTTTATCGCATCCTACTTTTCGCAAAACTTTTGTTGGTCAAATTTTAGGTTTTGAAAGGAGTTATGAAACTCATAGACTCATTATTGGCTCTGATACCACTTGTGGCAAAACCGCCCAAAATAGCACGCTTCTAGAGGCGTCCATCTTCCACCAGACACTAAACACTTCGAAAATAAGCTACATCGGACAGTTCCGTCGAGCAAACCCCATGGGAGAACTCGAATAATCCATGATTTTCATCTAGGATTCAATAATAAGAATGAGTTTACAATACTTAGTCTATTTTATACAACCAGAGTTCTTAGAAATACATTATTACAGTACCAAGTTCAGAGTGCGGAAATTAAACAGCGGAATTAAAATGAACATCTAACGATAGAATACAAGGATCCGTATGTGCCCACTAGAAGAATACTCTACACAATAGCTACTCTTCAAGCTACACCTGCAACAGGGGTAAATAAACCCTGAGTACACAATGTACTAACAAGACTTACCCGACTAGTGGAAATAACTTTTCGACTCCAAAGGATATGATAAGCTTTTTGGGTTGCTGGGTTTCCTTTTTACGGAAAGCAATACTAGTAGTGAATCCTTATGTATGCTTCTTATTAGCAATCATGATTAGTTCATTATCTAACCATTCTAGGTAAGCACCTATTCTATTTTCAAGCAAGAGTTGAGCAAATAGATACATTTCACCATCTTTCATCTTCTAGTTCTTACTACAGTGCTAGAGTGTAGACAAGTCATACCGGATTACCTGGCGATTCACGAATCAATGTGCCCAGCTGGGTACCCCAAAACACATGCCCCGCTTATACCCCAGGCACAAGCAGGACCAACCCACCACTCTCCTGTCAAGGGGTCTAGGTCCCCGTCCAAACTTGGACTCCAAGCCCCCACACCTGAGTCCCATACTCAGTGTGGTGCTTAGACCTCCACCATCCCCGCCTCCAATCAGTCGGTCCAGAAAGAGCCAGAACCCATGACAAGAGAGCAACGAGGATCTCCTCGTACTCTTCAATCACCTCCTCGTACTCCTGCTCGCCCGCGATCACGAACTCCACCAACTCGTTCTCTACATGCATGCAATGACAATGCAACACTCAATATTAAGGCAACAACAGTTCTTAAAATAAGAATACATCTACTAAGACACTAAGCTAGCTCTAATGACTAAGATACCAAGCTAATCATCATTCCCATCAAACCAGCAGGGTTTCACCTACAAGTGCTACTTAGCAACTAAAATATATTCTTACTCTTATTAACGATTTCCTATATACTACAACAAGGAGTGCTACTTAGCAACTCAAATATACAACACTCGCAAATGATTTAATAGCCGCTGGTATCAATAAATATATAAATGAACTAAATACACTAATCGATAGAGCACAATTTTAGGAACCTAACAAAATTGGTTTCACAATTTTTGGACATCTACAGAATTTGCTATAATTTTCCAAAGATCAGCTCAAAACTAAATTAGAAAAACATTTGCTAATTTGCTGGGAAAAAGAAAACCAAATCTCGCGCGGCCCACACGCGCGCAGCGCGTGCGCAGGCGCGACCCACGCGAAGTAGGCCCACGCGCGAGGCGGCCCACGACGGGGAAGCCCGCGCGCGCTGGTACTCTTGCAAAAACACCCCTAAACTCTGGGCAAACTAACTCGTAGTCCATGTCACTATTCCTAGAGAGAGCAACTATGCAATGAAACCCTTGGAAACTCCCTCCTTTACAACGGCATGGTCCTCGGCCACCCACGCGCGCGCTGGCGCGGCGGCGATGGCATTGGACGGCCATGCTAGCCAGCTAGGACCCGCACTGGCTCCACTAACAGGCCGACCCCTGTCTACAACCCTAGCGCCTATAGTAGCCTAGGTTACCGGAGCGGCGGAGCTCGCGGAAGTGGTGACCATGACGTGTGGCCATGCACGACAGTGGCGCGGCCATGCCTTCCACTCTAAGCCACCGCGGGGTGAACTAGCTAGCGCTATATCATCACTATCTTACCCTGGTTGTGGCTGCGGTGGTGGTTTTGTGGAGGTTCCCCGAACAGGGCTGGCCAAGTGTGGGTGGTGGGATGCGGCGGTGCTCCAAGACAGCACGGCCACGTTAGTGGCTACAGTGAGGTGGTAGAGGTGCAAGTGAGGTGCGTAGGGTGAAGTGGAGGTGGAGACGGAGTTCGTGGTGTAGATGGATTGACGAGGGGTGGAGCGGTGGGTGGCTACCCTCGGCCACGGTCGATCCTGGCCTTAATGGCACGACGGGGGGGGGACTTCCAAATTGGAGTTCGTCATGGACCGATTCAAGGCGGGGTGGGGATGGTTGGCACGCGGACATCAATGCGCATACATGGGCACGCAAAATTGAAGGCAAGTGCCTATGCCCTAGCTCACCGTAGCCGCGACGTGACGGTGGAAACAGTGGCGGTCGGGAGCACAGAAGCGGGAAGGGGAGAAACGAGAGGGCGGGAGGCGGTGAGGACGTGGTCAGTTGGCGAGTGCACCTTGGAGCGATGTGGCTGGTGCAACTAGTATGGCCCACGGCCGGCACTAGCCGACGACATGTGCTCGAGGTCGGCGTGGCCCGCGCGCCTCAGTGCCATACATGGCATGGCGACGGCGGTCCGGCCCGGCGCGCACAGCGCCCTGGCGCGCATGTGGCGTAGCGCGGTGCAGCGGCAGGCGAGAACGAGATGGTGACATGACGGCAGCGACAGCGTCGCGATGTGCGGTGGGAGCAGCGCGTGGGGTAGGTGGCCACGACGCTCGGTTGTGCGAGCAGCAGCAACGCCGCAACAATGGCTCCATGCGGTGGTAGCCTAAGGCGGCCAGTGATGCGGCGAGCGGCGGCGCGGCAATGAAATGGGGCGCCCACGCGGGGCGGCAACGAGGCCAGCACCGGGCCAGCAGCGAGCGAAGATCTGCAGCAGCCAGACCCGACCGACCCACGGTGGACAGCCGAAGGCGTGCAACAGCAGCATGAGAATGCCCGACGCGGCAGCATCGTGCCCCCGGTGCTAGTGATCGCGCTCAATCGGGAAAACAGCCCGAGAACACGCCAAACACAGATTTTAAAGCGCTCGAGAAACCTAAACCGTTGATCCAATTCCCAAATCACCTTTGCTATACCTTAGAGGGTATATTATGCTACTAAAACAAGTTATAATACAACACCACTCCATAACCCAATTTCTCTACAAAAATTATCAAACATAGCTTTGTCAATCTGTTTTCAGACTTAAGAAATTGACTAAGTCCTGAGTTGGATTTGCTTCAAATTCGATTTCCAAGCTATTAGAAATGTTATCTAGCGTTCCTATCTTGTTAAAAGAAAAGTTGCACTATCTTCTACAAAATGTGTACTTCAAACTTTATTAAGGTGTCACATATATATTTTATAGCACTTTTGCTTAATAAAAATTGGTTTCCAACCTTAAGTGATATGACATGCCTATTGAATTCTCTTTATGTATCATTTGTGTTAATCATTTTTCATGCCAAGAAATTTATCTTTGCTCATTCTCACATGCACTAACAAATAATCACGATGCTCATGAAGTGTTATTAGTAGAAAACTTGCAGTGCAACACCGAGGGTGTTACACTTGGCATCCTCATGGCGCTTAGATAGCACATCTACTTGCGCCTTTAGAGCGACGCCACTTTCCCTCCGAAGGTTGTCGCCCGCCTCAATGGCCTTCAAGGCACGTTCAGCAGCCAGTCGCTCCACCGCCTTTGCCCCTTCAACCTTCTTACTCAGCGAGTCAACCTTCTTCTGGAGTTCCTCCAGTTCAGCACGGGTTGTGCGAAGGCTACCAACCTCCCCCACAAGCCGAGTCTTCTTGGCCTCTAGAGTCTCCACTTCATTCTTCAAGGCCTCGATGGCCAAATTATGGTCGACCACCTCCCGCGTGCCACGCTCTTCAATGGCCTCCGAAAGAAAATGGCTCTGCCCGAACAAGTGTCAGCCACAAAAAGAGTAGAGTAACAAGCCGAGAAATCAAAAAAAGAAACATACCACACATTGCTGCTCCAAGTTCATCCGCAGCAACTTGAAGTAATCCACGTTCCTCAGATGGTGGCGAAGGCGGCCTGGCAGCAAATTTAAGTGTAAGAAACGTAAGACAAAAAGTAATGCAATAAGGGATATAGGAAGAACAACCTCCTACATCCTTATAAACAGCTTCAAGGACATCCGCCCACCCACTTATTGTGCTGTCGGAGGCACCTGAAACAGCGAACAAAATCAGCAAAGACCAAATATAAAAATAATACAGAAACAAAAAACAAGAAACAAAAAGTAACCTTCGCCACCATCCAAGCCAGTGCCAGATGGACGAGGAGTCGGACCCCCAAGCGGAGGCTATGGAGGGGCTCCCAAGCCAATCTAGGCGAGGTCCACACCTAAAGGGTCATCAAGGTTCTCATCAGTCCTTCCAAGGGCCTCCGTCAAGCCCCCTAGAAAAATAGAAAACAAGTCCCCATAAAATAAGAAAGCTTACCTACTAAAGGAAAAACAAAGATGGAAAGTGACCTACCAAGATGCAAAGGACTCGGGACGCTGTCTGAGCATCCAACACCCTTGGCATGGTGTCCAGTGGCCTCAAACCCTACGCCCTAAGGCGAAGCAACTAGAGAGCTCGCCTCTACCTTGTCCTCGGACACCTCGTCGAGACTAGTCGTAGGTTGGCGAAGGCCAGTACCAGTGGTCTCCCCCTCTCTGGGCAGAGAAGCATCGCCATCACCAGCGCCATTGCCCTCGGAGCCGAAGGTTTCATCACCCAAAACATCGGGCATAGGCGCCACGACGAAGGGCTCAGCAGCAAGGGCACCGCGCGTACCCTGGAGCGCGGTATCCGCCAAATCGTTGCCACCAAGATCCAGGGAGGCGGCAGAGTGCTCGCCTCCCGTCCCAGCAACAGCGAAGCCAGAGCCCCACCAACGTTCTCGACAACCTCCTCACCATCATTAGCGGAGGCAGCCGTGGACGCATCGGCAGAGGCGGCAGCAGAAGCGGCCCTGGTCTTTCACCTCTTGGTAGTGACCTTGGACACAGTAGCCCCTTTCCTCTTCCTCGCCTCCGCCACAACAGTTGTATTCTTGGCAGTGACCTTCCTCGCCTTGTCCTCTATGGACTTGTACACCTTCGTAGGAACTTCATATTCCTCGTGGTGGATCCGAATTCTTCAAATACTCTATTAAGCGGGGCATCGTACCAACGATGGCCCGGCGCACCAGATACTCTCTATCCGACATCTCGCCCAATATCTCACGCGCCCCCGCCTCCGCGGACTTCACCAGCTTCTCCGCAGCACGGCCCTCCTTCTCAAAGCCGAAGCACGGGAAAGGGACCCCGATACCTTCGCCAAACACAGGCAGACTAACCATCTCTATGGTCATAGCAGGCTTGTTCCTTCTGAGGGGCCAGCAATTAGCCGTCACCATCTCCTCGACCAAGTCACGACCTCCGGAGTACCGGCAGGCCAGAGCGAAGGCCCTGTCGCACGCTTCGCGACCTTCTTCAGTCCCTGGACCTGGGCTTCCCTAGGTCAAAGGCCTCATTGGGGTCATTACGGAGGCCAGCGGGTAGCGGGTGTTCTTCTTCCTGTCTGAGCCAGTAGATGTCATGCCTCCGGTCCTCACATAGAACCGATATTGCATCCAATCCTTCAACCACTTGTTCTTCTGGGCAAAGGAGATCTCTAACTTTTCGCCCCTCTAGGCCCTTCGTGGCATAAAAGCGTAGCTCCCATACTGCGCCACCAGCTGATCTTCGCCGACTCGCTTGGGCTGGCGCTGGAGCTCGTAGTACTCACAGAAAGTACCAACGTTAGGCTCCGCGCCATAAGACAAGCACGCCCAGCAAAACTTGCTCAGGGTAACTATCCCATTGGGCGTTAGATGATGAAACTGTACCTCAAACACCTCCAACACTTGGCGAAGGAAGCGCGCCGCCGGAAAGCGAAGGCCACAGAGGAAGAAATCCCTAAAAACGACGGCATCAACAGCCTTCGGGTTAGGAATCGTCGCCTCCTCCGGAGGCTTCACCTGAGCATCCCCGAAGCAGCCCAACTTCTGCAAATCCTCGATCATGTCTTTGGTGATGAGCGAAGGCCCAAAATACCATGTCTTGGAGGTGCCGTCCATGTCTCCTGCCTCTTTAGTGGTGATTGGGTCTACGACAGAGGCCTCACCTCCAGAAAAATCCTCTTCAAGCCCTAACGCCTCTGCGCTAGCAATCATTCACTCCTCAAACCGCACGGACCACCCACTAGACCTGACACTAAGAAGGCATCGGTACGGCCCAAAGAAGGAAGTTCGACACGGAGGAGGGCTAACAAGCGTAGCCACTTCTAAAAGACTCAGAAGTAACCTAGCAGAGGAGCGAAGGCAAAAACCAACTACGCGAAAGCGGCAGCGCAGGGGGCCGTAGCAGCAAAAGCGATGGCTAGGAAAGGGACAGGGGGGCCTTCACCTACCACCCCTTATATAGCCCCCGCCGCGACGCTTCGAATTCCGGGACCAACGATCACGTCCGTTCAAAGCGCGCCAGTTCCGTAGCCCTCGCGGCAAAGCAAATAGCGACACATCAACGACGCAACGGTATGATTCAGGCGTCCTAGGGGGGAAAGGGGGAGAAGCCTCCACGTGCCGCATGCGCAAGAGCCTCCGCGCCTCATAAACTGGGGACTGAAAGAGGGGGGAAGGCCTCTGCATGCCGCATGCACAGGAGTCTCCGCGCCTCAGAACCTGAGAACTATGTTTGAGGGCAAGGCCCGCCAGCATCAGACCAAGCCCTCAAGGGGGGAACTGTTGAGACACGGTTGTGAGTCGCGGAGGTCAGGGACCGGAGCAGTGACGAGAGCTAACGGTTAACAAATTTTGTGGATGACGTGCAGGGAAAGAGGACGGCAGCCTCCGCCTGATCGGCCAATCAGGGCGGAGGACTAGAGGTTGTGGCAAAGGAGCCCAGAGGAGGTCCGAGGCGGAGGCTCTGGCGGCCGAAGCGAAGGCGCCCGGAGGCCGTCAGCGACGAAGCCTCTGGCGGCACCTACAAAGGCTACGGAAAGCCGGCGCGCAAGTACGCCCAAAGGCCGCCCCAGACGAAGGCTCAGAGGGTCGAGGAACTTCCTAAAGAGCGGCGGTGCCGGGCCGTGGGCCGCAGACGGACTCACGGTTGCGGCCCATCAAGAAAAGGCGGTCGAAGAAGAAGGCACCCAAATTACCCTTAACGGTTTATGTTAGTGCAGGGATATTCCAAGGATGTACTGTGACCGTCAAGGGACAGAATTATAAAGAGTAGCCTTAGCAAGCAATGCCCTCTAAAAGGGGAACACAAACTCTGTACAGAGGGTGGTAGTTGAATGCATTTATGAAACCCTAAGTTAGTCTAGACCCACTTTCCACCCGACACGCTTTAGCTCGAGGCACCTGTCCGGGCGAAGGCTTCGGCAATCTCCTTCTAGTCCCACCTGCTGGAAACCACCATTTTCCAAAACAGGGCATCTAAAACATGATTGATTTCCGCTAAATTTCCTTCAGGAAAGGAACCGATTCCTTCCAGCAACTCCTTATCATGTCAACAACTCTCATAGTGTATTTCTCATCCTCGGGGTAATAAGCGATTGGGTCGTCAAGCAGTGGGGCTTCCAGATCCAAAACTCCTTCCAGTGTAGCATGCAGACAGTATGCTGAATAAGTGATGTGGTAACCCCCTTCCTGGACAACCAATAGCTGACCATTGCTATGTCGATTAGCCAGGCTCCTCATTATTTGTCCAATTTTCCTGTAGCCTTCCATGGTCAAGCACTGTCTTCCATTGGGATCAAACTGCATAAGTCAAAACATAATGTAGTTATTGTTTGTCTAACAGGTGTCATAGAGTCTCCAAGAAAATTTCTCTCTTTCTAAAAACGTTTGCAATTATCACCACCAACCAACAGGATTTTGATGGACGGTAAACAAAGATGAGGAAAATGTGAAATTAGGTGTCCTCAAGCAGAGCATCACATGAGTACATGACCAAAGAAATATATTGGCATAACTACTAAAATCTAAAGATAATGTTTGGATTCACTAGGATATACTATATCAAAACTAAAATGTGGGTTATGTAGAAATCTTTAACATGGATTCACTTGAGTCAGATTAATAATCATATAAAGACTCAAACAGAGAATCTTACTAAATTTTTATCAGAGTAAATAACCCTAAAAGAATCTTCTATATAATAACTCAGGCTTGGCAGCCTGTTCAGCTCTCCCCTTGTGATCAAACAATTGTGCAGTCAGTAGTGCTATCAGTAACGCATGGAAGAGTGATTGCCCGAAGTTAATAATGAGAATGCATACAGGTTGCTCCCAGTCCCAGACATTGACTCAAGAAATATTCTTTACGAAACAAGGACCTGCCAGTCCAGGCGGTGGTCTCAGCTTAGCCAATCAAGCTTGCACTAGTTTCCTTTCTTTCATAGTTGGTCTCAGGGAAAGGAAGAAGTAAACAGAACCTAGCCAAATTTGAGGCTATCCAATCTAGAATGCAGTTGTTTATGACTTTTAGACTGCAGTTTGGGGCCCTCTGAGTAGCAGCAATCTCCTGCTACTCGGGCACCAGTTGCAGTGTGCCCTGCAGTTGGCACAGCAGCACCATATCTCCCAAAACACCTGTACTAGCTCGGCATAGAGGGGGTGAATAATTTTCTGGGACAGGCACAAGTGTGCATTGCCTCTCTGTCCTGTTTCTACAAGGATTATGTAAGTGCGTTGCACTCACCTATCTGTTATTATATGTGCAATATCTAATGCTAGGTTCTTGTTTAGCACTTTTTTTCGAACAAGCTTTTATTATTGGTTAAAGGCTGAATCACAACTGCAGGTTTGAATGTGATGCTCAATGATGAATGGGTTCAGTGACATTCATGTATGGCAGCATACAATTATTTAAGAATCCAGTAGAGGCTGGTTTACTCATGAATAAATTTGTTCATTGATCATTTATGTTGTCACATTATCTCCTTAGCACTTTCTCATTGCTAGGTGATTTGTATCCTTCATGATAATTGTGTGTAATTGATCAACTGTGAATTAGTTGAAGTAAATTCTAGAATAAAATGGATGCTACCATACTTAGTCAAGGATCCTAAAAGCCTTTTAGGCCTTGGATGGCCATTCGTTTGGTAACCCATACTGAGAGAATCATTCCTGTAGCATTTTTCTAGTTATATTCACCTGCTTATTGTGTCAACCATGATGTTTGCTTATGACTTTGTGAGTAGCATAAATCTGTCCTAATGAGATGATTAAATGTTCATCTTGTTTACTGCAACCTTTTGGTGCTTCTTGTATGTCTTTTACTTGTTAAATCTGGGAATCAATTTTAGTTGCTAAAATGTGCCTTATCCTACAACAGGTTGTGCTTCTCACAAATCAAAATCACCAAAAGTACATCTGGGAGCAAAGGTAACACCCAGAAATATGACCTATTGGCTATTTGGTCCATGGATTTTAAGCATCACAATTGACAATGAAAGCACCAGTTAAATGGAGTCAATTGTTCCTCTTTATGATATTACCATCCTCCCATTATTTGTCAACGACAACCATATCCACTAGCTGCTATGTAATCTTTACTAGCAAAATTGACTATTGGAGCAATGGATTGACCGCACAAATACATGGAATTCTAAGTGATTAATAGACACAACATGTAATGAAGCAAGGAAAACAAGTGTGCGAACTAAACTTACCGCGCTAGAATCTTGACCAATCACAAGAACCAATAGCTGAGGCTGAAACTTATCAATCGCTGGAACGACCAACTCGTTCATCGCATATGCATACCCAGCATCTCCACTTCCATTAGGCAAAGGTATATTGAGATTGTACCCAAGCCCCTTGCCTTCACCAATCTCATCGACGGAGCCACTCTGCGGATGCGATGGCCCCCAAGAACCATGCCTCATGTGAAAGACATTGTCAACACATTGTCTGTGCGATAGAAGCCCTCCGCGGTACCATTCCCGTAGTGTACATCAATATCCACAACGGCAACCTTTGAACGACCGGAATCCAGAGCCAGCTGCACAGCAAGTCCGGCATTGTTCAGAAAGCAGTAACCATCGGCATGGTCGGGCTGCGCGTGGTGGCCAGGGGGCCGAACCAACGCGTAGGCCAGGTTCCCATGCCCGTCAAGTATGTGCTTCACGGCGGAGAGCGTGGTCCCGGCCGCTAGAAGCGCCGCGCCCCAGGAGCCCGGGTTCAAGAACGTGCCCTCACACAGCTTCTTGGCTCCGGTGGCGTTCGCCTGCACGAGCTGCTCTATGTATTCTGCAAACCAACCCCAAGAAGATTTTAGCCAATATACCGTGAAGGTAACTGAATTTTGCTCAGCGTTTACAAATGTTGTATATTTTACTATGCAAACACCAGAAAAAGACACAATTTTAGTGAATCAAGATTCCAGAATGCGATGGGCAGGTAGTAAGAGCTACAAGAAAGTCTGTGAGGGGATTTCGGCTTTGGGGGTTGACCTGAGGAATGGAAGGAGAGGAGCTCGGAGGCGTGGGCGGGGCGGCCCGAGTGCCAGGAGAGGAAGTGCGCGATGGGCCCGCGGCGGAGGATGGAGACCATGTTGCGGACGCGGTCGGCGTTCTCCGGGTGCTGGTCGAGCACGTCCAGGAATCCCGGGTCGCGGCCCGAGTCGAAGACGCCGCAGCCGGCGTCGTGGGCCAGCATGCCCTCGTGCCAGAACACCGCCAGCTTGTCTCCCGGACCCGGCGGTGGCGCCTCCGCCGGCGGCGGGGAGGATTCGGACGCCATCGGCGGCTCGGCGCGGCCGCGCGGGGGGTTTCGCTTCGCAGTGACGGCGCCTGCTGTTCAACCATCAACGCCTCAGTCTGACTCAGCGTCCCAGCAAAATAGCAATTTTTTTTTATTTTGAGCGGATTTAGGACGGCAGAGCTCCACGCAGCTCCAGGTTCTCAAAAGCAGCTCTGCTTCAGATTATTTCAGCCAAACGGTTTTAGATCCAGGTGCTATGCAAAATTAAATTTGATGGAGTTAGAGGAAATTACTCATCACTGTCACTCGTTACACGACTTACCCCTTCGTTCTTTTTCTTTTTTGACATAGCTTTTCTTCGCGTCGCGTCCTTTCACCGTCGTAGCTCCACCGGCAGCTCCCCAGCGAGGGCCTCTAGGCCAACAGCGCCGGCGCTGCCCCTCCCTCCCCCGGCGAGCTGCTCCCCAGCACGTGCCAGGGCCGAGCGCGTCGACCATGGCTGGCCCCCCAGCCACCGCGGCATGCTCCGTCCCCGACGCAGCTCCCGACCCGCCCGCCGGCAAGCCCGCCCCCGCGCGCGAGGTCGCTCCCTAGCGCGCCCCGTCCTCGAAGCAGCGCCCGACCGTGGCCGCGCCTGCCCGCCAGCGAGGCCACACCCACCGCGATGCAGCGCCCGCGCGACGTCGCACGCGCCGTGAGGAAGAAGACGTTTTTTTTCTTTTTTTTATTCTGACATGTGGGCCCAAACTGTCAGTGAGATAGAGATGGGAGTGGAGCTATACCAAACGCTTTTTAAGATTCTAGATCCACGGCGGAGCTGCTCTATGGTGAAGCTAGGTCTGTGCATCCGGAGCTGTGTTTTCCGGAGCTGTAGGCTGTAGCTCTGTCAAACAGCCTTGGAGACAGTGAGACACTGAAACAGAGAGATAACACATGAAGACGCAATTGGTGTTTGCATGGGCCAGAATGAGAGCCCATGGGCTCTTATTTTTGCTGCTCTCCTCGGGAGATGTAGGTACATGGGCCTTGCCTTTGGTAGCTGTTCTGGCAGTTCTGCTGTGAGTCTTTCTTCGTTTCCCAATTGAAATTCAAAACCTATAGCTATTTTGGGCGGTTGGGATCTTGCACTTTTCTTTTTTGTAGAATATATGTCCAAATGGTTACGGTAGGTTTTGAAATTTACCCTTTTTTGCCATTGACAAAAAAAAACACAACAACATGTTGCCGCGTGGCCCGTGCACCAGTGGCAAACACCAAGAAAAGGCTGTGTTCACCTAGTAGCAAACACCAAGAAAATCCAATGGAATCCATTGGGCGGTTGGGATTTTGCATCTCGGCATACTGGTGCGTGGCTACTGCCAGCATTGTCATGTGAGGCTGCTCATGCTATGCACATATTATACTCCTCCTTTCAAAAGAATTACTTGGTACAGTACTTGATACCCTCTCCTTTCAAAAGAATTACAAATACAAAAATTCTAGTAAAGTATTAACTATTAAATAAATATCATTAGACTTGCTATGAGATGTATTTTCCTAGTATAGCTAGTTGATGTCATAAACAATAATATCTTTACCTACTCTATATATTTTGTCAAACTTTAGATACTTTAATAAAAAAACACCTAGAATCACATTTATTTTGGACAGAGATAATAGCAAAGCCGGTCTGCACTCTACAGTCAGCAGACGAGTTCGCTTGGCGCAGAAAAATCAGTTTAACTATGATATCGGTATTTCTTTGTTTATCCTGAATTTTTCTATTCCGAATTCAATTGACGATAAAATTTAGTATTCTTTCTGGTACTTTCATAACTCGTGAAAGGCCAAGCATATAAATATGTAATGCCTTACTGTGACAAATATAGTATAGGGCATCTTGAGGAATCCAAAAGTTCTCCGCGAAGATCTGAAGGGAACCTGATCTCTGACGGGTGACCTCAACCCCAGCCCTGCTGCGAGTTGCCGGTGGGCGAGCCGGCCCTGCTATGCGGTCGCGCGAAGGAGGCGCGGGTGGAAGAAGCTCGCGACGGAAGGGATGAGGAGAGAAAAAGAAAAAGGGAAAAGCTAACAAATAGGGCCCCACCTGTCATTCACTGATCCCACTTTTAATGTCTTTAAAACCCAATAGAAAACGAGTTGATTCCATCTCTAGTCAACCACACAGAAAATAGAGCTGTGCTGTCGTGTTCCACGTATCAAAGACAACCATCCCATTTCACCTTTAACGCCTAACCAAACGCTACAAAATTCCTGGAGGTTGAAAGTGGGTTACGACGAGCCATAACTACTCTAGTACTCTGCCAACGAAACATGGTTTCAATTCGTTCCCATTTCATTGGTGCCAATGGCGACGGCCGACGCAGCAGTTGCTAGCTCCAAACGTCTGCGGTCTCGACGGGCGGCGTCAGGCTCGCGTGCAGGCAACATGCCGCTGCTCCCCCCGCCGGATTGGCATCCTCTCCGTGGCCAACGTGGACGCACGTGGACTCCACCACCAGTCCACGGCAACCTCGCTCAGGTCGCTCTCGCCGATCCACGGATCCAGGTTGCAGGGGCAGCCGCAGCCCGCAGGCAGCTTCGTTGCCAAATTCCTGTTGCGGGGTTCGGGTCAGGTTCGCTCGCGCGCGCGCGTCCTGGGGCACACGATCGAGATGCTGCCGCGGCCATTCTTGCGTAGCTCCGGCTGCTGCTGGTGTAATCTGTGGCCCAACCCTGTGATGGCTCATTTTGCCGTTCATCAGAGCTCCTGGCCCAAATGGCTTCATTCTAGCTGTCCGGTCTAATTGGCTCAGAAATCTAGATGAGTTGCTCAGTCGATTGAAGAGGGAGTTCAGATGCAACCATTTGGGTACGTCACTCATAGCCTCTGCACCAATGATAAGCTGGTGACACGTCCAATGCCCAGTGCTGAAAAGTTAGGCGTGCTAGGGGAGCTTAGAAGCATATTAAGGGCATGTTCAGAATAAAGGAATCGAAAACAAATGAATAGAAAAAAAACGTAGGAATATGATAGGTGTGTAGTGACAAAATAGAGGAAAATGAAAAACACATGAAACTAGAAAGAGGTGTTTAGAACACAGAAATTCATAACAGAGAGTCACAAAGCATGTAAAGGATAAAAGCTCATTACCAGTGGTTAATAACCTGATAGTTGCATACTTTGCATGTGCGTGACTCTCTTGCATGTGGGGCCATTGGTCCATGGACTGGACCCATCCATGTGCTGCACACATATGTTTGAGTGGGACCAAACAACTTTTTCTAGTTCATGTGGGGCCATTTATCCCCCTCTCGCTCTCACTTACATGTGGGGCCTATTGGTCCATGGTCTTATCTGACCAAAAGTTCAGAGCAATCCTCATCCTCGTCCACTCGTACCTTCTTGTCTCCATTATTTTTCATGTTCTCCTCCGAGGCCCTGTTTGCTTAAACTTATCAGCCTGGCTTATTAGTCATGGTACAGTATTTTTGTTTTTCTTTCACAATAAATCAACGAATAATACTTTTGAACCTGGCTTTTCAGCGAAAAAACGAACAGGGCCTCGAGTCTCTCTCTCTCTCTCTCTCTCTCTCTCGATTACAGCACTGCTGTTGCCAATGCATGACCACCGCCAAAGACCGCCACGGCCAAGCCACCGTCCCTCATGCAAACTACCACCCCTCTCTCTCCTCCCACACAGGAGTGTTATGCCAGGTCGGCCATAGACGGACGACCATGAGCTCAACGAACAAGATGACTAGTTGACCACTTTGGAAAGGTAAGAAGAGGCATGAAACGGTTTGCTTCTACCGGCTTCTTAACCTCCACACGCCTGTCTGTCTCGGGCATCCTCGAAAACTTTGGATGGATTTCTTCGTTCCCGCGTTTTGTGAATGAAAGTGTTACTTTCTAGATGAACGGCAAGGTTGGTTCCTTCGTTCCAAGCGGCACATAACGCCTCCAAAATGGAGGAAGTGTATTTTGAAATTTCTTTGGAATTCCTACCATCCAAACGGCCCTAACGTAAAACATAGAGAAAATAAGATATAGTATTGAGTATTAACCAAGAGTTGAAAGCGCTAAGCTTCACACTGTACCGTGATTCAGACTCCCAATTGCGATACCAAATACTAGAGGGGATTGGTTGGATCGAAAATTACGAACATCACTTTTTTTTCCAGACAATCGGTATGTCCCTTGTTGGTTTCAAATGAACTTATCACCAAATGCAAATGATGTTTTTCTCTCTCACAACGCACCAAGACCGAAGCCTTTTATCACTTTTCAGTAAACCAACCAGCGAACAGGCCGAATTATGGTTGTCCTTAGCTTCGCCACTGTTTGACCGCCACTCCTCCAGTACTACCTCCAGTGATACAACATTTTTCAGTCGAACTTTTGGTTGTTGGATTTATCTCCTGTTTAGGCCTGATCGTTTCACGGCTGGTCTGATCCCTCCCCACGCTGAAATGACAGGAATGGTTTTTTCCTGGATCCGCCGCTGATTCAAAGTTGTTGCACGGCACGCAGTACATGCAACAAGCTGCTAACAGAAACGTCGCACCGCGATGATGTTACATAGGAACCGTCTAAAATCCACCACCACGGCCCACATTCCTTCTTCCGTGAGCAGGCGAATCCCAAACCAGCAGCTTACGCATGGTCGCATGGACGACAGCCTGATTAACAATAATTGAACCATGCTAAAGTGCAGTACTTTACCAAAAGGCAAAGCAGAAGCAGGTATCAAATCACTCGCGCAAGAGAAGAGAGGCGTCGCCATCGGCGGATCAGGCCTCGCCTCCGACACGACCCCTCGCGCACGCCCCGACCCGATCGAAACCATCTTCCATCTTCCTCCAGTCGCTGGCGGCGGCTGGCCGGGGGATAAGCGAGTCCTAACCCCTCTCCATTTGTAGCTTTCGTTGGCTAGTCCCGTGTCCTCTCTCGATCTCCTCGTCCTCGAGCGATCGCGGTGGTTGCGGCGTCCTTCTCCCTTCGGGACTTCCCGCCGGCGCCGGGATAATGTCCTGTCCTCGCGGGGGCTGCGCGGCGA